AATATTTCCCTATTTATTTGCACCCAACTTCCAAGGGCTTTGACCTCCCCAAATCTTGGATGTAATCTTCACTTTAGTTGTAAAACTCAACATATTTTAACAGATCAATTGGTCAGATTAAAAGTAAATTAAGATCGAAGTAAGAAGATCATCACAATTTCTTAAACATTTTCATGGCTTCGCCAATTCAAATCACCATTTCACAAATCTCGAGACAAGGAGAAAAACAGAGAAAACTACTTATAACTTATGAGGAAAACACAACAAAACTCAGAATTCATAAATAAAATCAAAGTCATACAAACTACAACAAGTAAATAACTTATCTCTAAATTCTCCCCAAGAACACTCCTCGAAGTTCCTCTGAATCTCTTTCTTTCTTTACAGCACACAAAATTCCTCTTCAAAGAAGCAAGAAGGAAGAAATCTCTCACCTTCCCTCCACTATTACAATTTCTCGAAGAAATCCTCACAATTGTTACACACTAATGAAACTTCTCTAACCTCTAAGGCCTTTCTAACATCTAGGACCTTCCAGGCTCTCCAGGACTTCTAAGCTCTCCAGCCCCTCTTAATTTTCGGCCAAAATGTTCTTTTAAAGTTGTGGATGAGCTTTCCTAAGAGTTGCCTAAGCATCCCTTCAAAATTTGGCCTTATCCAAAGCTTCAGTAAAGCTTGAGTAGGCATAACCGTCGATCTCACCGTCGGCGGGCTTCTGAATATTTTGTCCTGTGGTCTCGGGAAAAGCTCGCCGTCGGCGGGGTCGAGGGCACTGTCAGCGGCCTAGTTCAAATCTTCACATTTTGGTCCTTTTCGCTCCAAATTCGCTCCTTTTTGTATTTTTTTGCTCCAATGACCCTAATTCATCATTCCTGTGACAAAACATCAAAAATATCTTTCTTTAAAGTGCAATATCATTAAAAACAGTATAAAATAGGAATGAAAATCTTAACATATTTTCATTTCTTTAAAGTGCAATATCATTAAAAACAGTATAAAATAGGAATGAAAATCTTAACATATTTTCATTTCTTTAAAGTGCAATATCATTAAAAACAGTATAAAATAGGAATGAAAATCTTAACATATTTTCATTTGGTCAATATACATTACGTACAGTTTAGTTTTTATTTTGTTACATAGTATGTATTATGTACATTAATTAATAAAACTTATTCTTCTTGTTGAAGATGTCGACAGAGGTAGGGTCAGTCTCCTTTCTTACTTAGGGGGGGTGGTGGCATGGAGCAAAGCACTAACTGACAAAGATGAATGTCAGGAGAGGCCATCCGACTTTGACACCCACTTCCACCCCCGCTCCTGCACACACCCCCGCCCTTCCCTCGACTATCACCCCTGCCACCACCCCAACCCCCACCTACACACCAGCCAG